TCTGAAGGCAACTTCTGTTCCGTTGGTTGATTGCTCTCACTGTCAGAAAATTTATCCTTATTTCCAGGTTGAATCTCTGCTTGGTCAGTTTCCATCCATTATTCATCATTCATTTAGTCTAAGGCAGTGCTTTAACATACTGGCTGGAGAATTTTGGGAGACGAACTCCACACATCTTAAAGTTGCCAAAGATGAGAAAAACTAAGCAAGTCTATGCAAATGCTTGCCGTTTACCCTGCAGTGGATTCAAATTCAGTATAAGTAACTCTGATGTAACTACATGGAGATATTGAACTAAGCGAATACTATTTTAGACAAGCATTGCACCTTCTCTCATTACTTATTTCCCCTTTCCTGGGCCTAGCTTCTTCTTATTCTTCTGTTTGCCTCTGTTGTGGCCTGCCAGCTGCCAGCAGAGCTGGTGCCAGACTGAAACGATGAGGAGGTTGGGGAGGAACTTGGGCCAGTGCTGGAGTCTGAGGAAGGCTCTGATGGATGCTCTGCGTCGGAGGCAGAGATGGGGCCAGGGCTGTCCAACATTTCTCAGCCACAGGAGAGGCAGCTGCCTTTGGAGGCTGATATGAGTGAGGAGGAAGAACAGCTGGAGCCTGTTTTAGATGGACGTATGCACAGAGCTGTTAGGAGAGGTGAACAACGGAGGACAAGGAGTCGACTCAGGAAGCAAAGCACACGTGTGGACGTTGAATGGCCCCTCCCTGGCTGGGGAGTAAATAGAAGGAAAGGGGAGTAGTTGTCGTAGGAGACAACAGTTCGTATTTCTGAAAATTTCGCTCATTGTGTTTCGTGGCTCTAATTTGCAGCCTTTTGGCTGGGAGCTCACAGCCTTGCAATTATCGCAAGGAACTGATAAGGTCTGTTATTGCAGTTTACTCCTTGAAGGACTATTGCCTGGACTTTTTGGTGGGTGAATGCAATTGGGGACCCGGATTGTTGTTGGGGGCAATATGCTGACTCTGTAAACCGCTTAGAGAGGGCTGAAAGCCCTATGAAGCGGTATATAAGTCTAACTGNGTTGCGATGGGTCAGATATGACTTCGCAACTAACAACAAGAACATGGTCAATATTTTTAGGTTGAAGAAGGCTGATTACACATTCCTGAACGTACATTTTATACACTGTTATCTTGCTCCTGCCTCCTCCATCACCTAAGAATAAGCTCAGGTTCCCTTCTCACCTTACCTCCTTCCCACTAAATTGAAATATAGGTAGCACGCACACCAACACATTCACTATCTGCTTTATTTCTAGTTCTCACAAGAGTGATTGCTTTAAAAATAGGGCACACCCTGCAGCATTTTTCTAAGGCTTTTTAAAATTCAGTACATACGGCGTAACATCAAGTCTTCAGGGTTTTCAATAATCAATCATAGAAATCTGAAGTTAATTTCCTTCAGGCATAATTTCCAAATGGTTATTGTTTGTTTATGAGCCAAGAGCAATAATAAAATATATATCAAATACTATATATTTTATCTATAATCTCTACAAATCATATTTATATATCTATATACACACAAACACACCGGAGGTGGGGTGGGGGGGCATTCAGCAGCAATCCAAAGTTATGGCAGACTTGCACCAAGACTTTGTGCTGTTGTTAAACACATGGTCGTAACTCAAGGACTACTCCTCCCCCCCCCCCGTGTGAATGTGTACATGCACACACACACAATCACCACTGTGCTCATGTGATTGCAGTCTGGTTGCTTGGCAAGCAGGCCACATTTATAACCAGTTGCAGTGTCTTCCTGTTATGTGATTTGAAACTTTTGCTGATTTCTGCCAAAAAAAAAATATTACTACACATTTATCTTTAGAAAAAAAAATAAAAAGAAATCTCCACAAGGAATTCCAATTTCAAAATCAAATTCATCTGGAGACACCGAAGTATCATTAACAGAGTAACAGAGTTGGAAGGGACCTTGTAGGTCATCTAGTCCAACCCCCTGCCCAAGCAGGAGACCCTTCACCATTTCTGACAAATGGCAATCCAGTCTCTTCTTGAGAGCTTCCAGTGATGAAGCTCCCACAACCTCTGAAGGCAACTTCTGTTCCGTTGGTTGATTGCTCTCACTGTCAGAAAATTTATCCTTATTTCCAGGTTGAATCTCTGCTTGGTCAGTTTCCAT